GCATAGCTCTACTGAGCGAAGAATCTGGCAATCAGAACTAGGTGGCAAATTATAGCACAAAAGGGGGAACCTGACATATATATAAATCTAATTATAAGGAAAGTCGATCAGACAGCCATATCATAAAACTGACACATAGAACGGAGAAACTTTTTATGGATCTGTGGCAAATACTTGGTAAGTGCTTTCAAAAACAATCTGACTCATTGGTTTATAAAAAGTCAAGAACGAAAATGTAATATATTGCATCTCACTAGATCAGGGGTCACCAAACTGCGGCCTGAATGCCAGATGTGGCCCTTTGCTACCCTTTATCCAGCCCTTGGGGCTCTATTCCTCCCACTGAGTCCAACAATGGGGCAGTACTTCTTCCCATGAAGCCAATGATGGTGTACTATTCTTCGCACTAATATCAATGGTTGGGCACTACTCCTCCTACTACTGACCAACAACCCTGAAGCCATGTGTATTCTCACTGATGCTGGGGCCAGGATATTTTCTATCCTCACTGGCCCTAATACGGTCCTCCTAAATTCTGAAGGACAGTATACTGGCCCTTTGTTGGGAAAGTTTGTAGACCCCTGCACTAGATCTTAGGTATTTTGGTGGCATTCGTTCTCTTTTTCAGGCTTTACTTCCTTCTGTTTTCACTTGGTGATCCTGCCTATAAACACATTTCCAGACCGAAGGTGATCCAGCCAGTAACATGCTTCTTATGCCAGGGTGATCCTACCAGAAACATACTCCCCGTCCTAGGGTGATCCTATCAATAACATGCTTCCCATCCTAGGGTGATCCTACCAGTAACATGCTTCCCATCCTAGGGTGATCCTACCAGTAACATGCTTCCCATCCTAGGGTGATCCTACCAGTAACATGCTTCCCATCCTAGGGTGATCCTACCAGTAACATGCTTCCCATCCTAGGGTGATCCTACCAATAACATGCTTCCAATCCTAGGGTGATCCTACCAATAACATGCTTCCCATCCTAGGGTGATCCTATCAGTAACATGCATCCCATCCTAGGGTGATCCTACCAGTAACATGCTTCCCATCCTAGGGTGATCCTACCAGTAATATGCTTCCCATCCTAGGGTGATCCTACCAGTAACATGCTTCCCATCCTAGGGTGATCCTACCAATAACATGCTTCCAATCCTAGGGTGATCCTACCAATAACATGCTTCCCATCCTAGGGTGAACCTACCAATAACATGCTCCCCGTCCTAGGGTGATCCTACCAATAACATGCTTACTGTCCTAGGGTGATCCTACCATATAACATGCTTCCTGTCCCAGAGTGATCCAGCCAGTAACACGCTTCCCATTCTAGGGTGACCTTACCAGAAACATGCTCCCTGTCCTAGGGTGATCCTACCAATAACATGCTCCCTGTCCTAGGGTGATCCTACCAATAACATGCTCCCTGTCCTACGGTGATCCTACCAATAACATGCTCTCTGTCCCAGGGTGATCCAGCCAGTAACACGGTTCCCATCCTAGGATGAACCTACTGATAATATGCTCCCTGTCCTAGGGTGTTCTTACCAGTAAACGCCTTCCGTCCTAGGGTGATCCTTCCAGTAATAAGTCCCGAGTGGCCAACCTCCTGTGTTCAGTAAGTAGGAGTGCAAACATTTAGCACAGGATCCGGAAGCATGTAGAGATCACTGGAGTAGCAGTGTCTACTTCAACGATTTCCAGCTTTCACAGGGATTGGCCAGCTATGGTAAATACAGAGGTACATTGGTCCAAAATGGACCAATGTCACTATGTATTATATAGCCATGCCTCGAATTATTCTGGGAAAAGGAAAAATCCTCCTCTGCAGTGGAGCTGCGCCTGCACTACACAAGGAAATAAATACTTGTTTATGTCTAGGGGACTGAGGAAAAAAAAGGTTACTTATCTGATCCTCCACTCCCCTGGTAGCTGGTGTTCTCCTCTAATCACCCACACTCAAGCAGTGGACTTTTCTTTGAAGTCCTCACATCTAATGCAGGGCTACGGGCTCTGCACTGAACTAGATGACATCAGAAGACCTGCAACTGCCAGGGCATAATGTAGCAGAAGCTGTAAGGACCAGTCTTAGAGCTTGAAAGAAGTCTAAAGGAGCAGAGGATCAGGTAAGTATCACTTTTTTTGTGGTCCCCTAGTCCTAAAACAGCATTTAACCCTTACAATGTGCAGTGAGGCCCACTGAAAAGGAGCATCTTTCCTTTCAAGCTTGAACACTTGTAACCCACTCTTGCCCCGCTTAGTAGCCCTTCTCAATGTGACTGAGCTGTCATAGTGGATATTTGGGAGCCAGCAGGACAGGCTTTCAATCGACACAGAAAAGACAGTCTGCATGGACGCACATGTGCAGTTAGGCCCATTCTGCCTAATGGCGCATTTATGATTTACATGGTTGACAAAAGATCAAAGTGATTTTCCTGGCTTTTTTTTTTTGTTTGTTTGAATAGGGTGGAAAGGTTGGAGTCTCTATCAGATTTTTATTGTTGTATACAGTTGTGTCCAAAATTATTCAACCCCCACTGAAATTGAGTGTTTTGGCCAGTTTGACATTGCTTTTGATCATTCAGTCATCTTGCTTACATTTACATTAAAGAGGCACTTGTAGGTCAGACAAATATAACATAACAGTTATAATGAAATAACCACAAATGTCTTTTCTGTGCTCACAGCATTATCAGTTTTATTCAACCCCCAAGTGACATTCAATCTTAGTACTTAGTACAGCATCCTTTTACAGTTATAACAGCTTTTAAACGTGAAGCATAGCTTGACACAAGTGTCTTGCAGCGATCTACGGGTATCTTCGCCCATTCTTCATGGGCAAAGGCCTCCAGTTCAGTCACATTCTTAGGCTTGCGCACTGCAACTGCTTTCTTTAAGTCCCACCAGAGGTTCTCAATCGGATTTAAGTCTGGTGACTGCGATGGCCACTCCAAAATGTTCCAGCCTTTCCTCTGCAACCATGCTCTAGTGGACTTGGAGGTATGCTTGGGATCATTGTCCTGTTGAAAGGTCCAACGTCTCCCAAGCCTCAGGTGTGTGACGGACTGCATCACGTTTCCATCCAATATCTCCTGGTACTGAAGAGAATTCATGGTACCTTGCACACGCTGAAGCTTCCCTGTACCTGCAGAAGCAAAACAGCCCCAAAGCATGATTGACCCTCCACCATGCTTCACAGTAGGCAAGGTGTTCTTTTCATCATAGGCCTTGTTCTTCCTCCTCCAAACATAGCGTTGATCCATGGGCCCAAACAGTTCTAATTTTGTTTCATCAGTCCACAGAACACTATCCCACAACTTTTGTGGTTTGTCCACATGGCTTTTGGCATACTGCAGTCGACTCTTCTTATTCTTTGGAGACAGCAAGGGGGTACGCCTGGGAGTTCTGGCACGGAGGCCTTCATTACGCAGTGTGCGTCTTATTGTCTGGGCTGAAACTTCTGTACCCACATCTGACAAATCTTTTCTCAGTTCCTCAGCAGTCACACGGGGACTTCTCTCCACTCTACGCTTCAGGTAGCGCACAGCAGTCGAAGTCAGCATCTTCTTTCTGCCACGACCAGGTAGCGTTTCAACAGTGCCCTTTGCCTTGAATTTGCGAATGATGCTTCCTAAGGTGTCTCTTGGTATGTTTAACATCTTTGCAATCTTCTTATAGCCATTGCCCTTCCTGTGAAGAGAAATCACCTCTTCTCTTGTCTTCCTGGACCATTCTCTTGCCTTCACCATGTTTGTAACCACACCAGTAAATGTCTAGAAGGAGCTGAGTATCACAGTCATTTTAAAGCTGCCTAATTGGTGCTTATTATGCTTGATTGCTGCTCGGTGACATCCACAGGTGTTTTCAATACCTGATGGAAAGCACCTGTATGAACCTCTGTTCTTCAGAGTGGTAGTCTTTAAGGGGTTGAATAATTGTGGCAATGAAGAAACCACATAAGAACCATTTACTACTGTATTACATAAACAATTGATGTCATTTTAGTTGCATTTGGGTAGTTACAACGTCCTTGTAGGATTTGATTCTGAATACAATTCCAAATGTACACTATAGTCCCTAAACCCCTTTACAGCATTGGGGGTTGAATAATTTTGGACACAACTGTATGTCCACATTGAGAGATTTTCCCATAAACAGGACAGAGAGTGAGGCAAAATCTTTATGGGCTTCAGAGAGCATTTTAAAGTACACCTGTACTGAGCAAAACATGCATACTGCCATTGTTGACCAATGCCTGAAAATGAAAAAAAAAAAAAATGCCTACTTTGAGTTACTGACCCCAAAGGCAGCAGCTAAAATCATAACTGATGCGCACACTTGTTTTAGCTCAATGCAAACACTGCTAAAGACATTGGATCACCATGATAGCCAAGCAATAAGCATTATTTGTAGTGGTCAACATCAACAAAGGTAACTATAAAGCAGCTCATTCTCCCTACTGATTGGATAGAAGTATCTGCAACTGTGTAGAGGCTGGATTAGAGCGCTGGAGAAAAGACATGATCAGTCATGACACCGGCCATTTGGTGGTTTGACAGTTCAGTTGAAAACAAAAAGCAAATTTGACAGTTAATTCTAGCAGCCGGGAATGTAACTTTTTTTAAATTGCTAAACTGATGGGTTTAGTTCCAGGGGCAGATGTGGGGCCAAGCTACACTGTGTGTGTGAATGGACACAAAGAGCACATTTCAGGAAAGAGCATTTGGCGGGGGGGGGGACCCAGGACTGCCACTAGGGTAGGAACTGTTCTGTGCAAAACCATTGCAGAGAGCAGGTAAGTATAACATGTTTGTTATTAAAAAAAAAACAACTTTCCTTTAGAATCACTTTAATAAGTCTCTATGTTCTTTAGTTTACTAAACTATTAACTGGCACATGCCACTCATGGGAAGGTGTTGCATGACGCATTCCAAGTGAATCAAACCAACAGGGAGAAAACATTAATTGAACACAACAAACATGTGAAAAAAAAGGTACCTGATCTGCGTTGTGAGTTCCTGGAAACATATCAGTGACTCCAGGGACTTGGTTTTCCCAAGGGAACTTATTTTTTCCTTTGCCAGCACTTAACATTCTGTGACCTAAGGGATCAATGTGAGGGACAACCCCTCTACCATTGTGATCACTGGTTTGATAATGTCCACTTTGAACTCGGTTTCCTGTCAAAAGCCAGTCTGTGTCGGCTCCCGGCAAATGATGTGTCCCTCGGATCTGAGCCGATGATGGGAATGGAAGAGCGTACTCTACTAAACCCTGTGGGGAAATCCTAGGAAGAGTCTTCCGTGCCAGCCTGGCCTGCACAGCATTCATTAATCCTTCACCGTTTTCCTGTAGCTCAACTTCATCAACGGCTTTAAGCAGACTACTTTTTCCTGGACCCATAGAGGCCGCCAATACAGCAAAGGCCTCCAAAGCTGCATGGCGGACTCGTCTCTTACTATCTATTAAACACGGAGCAATTTCGCAAGCTAAAAATGGCAAATTGAAGTCTTCACTGGGATACGTCAATAGGGAAACAATACAAATATTTACTACTTCTTCCCTTACTCTAGAGTTCTTGTGCTTTAGATTTTCAAGCAAGACAGTTAATACTTTGTATGGTCCAACCACTTTCATTAGTCTCATGTATATTTTCATGTACTCCTGTTTAACTGTGATCTTGCCATCTCCAAGGAGTTTGACTGTTGAGGCGATGACTGGTTTGAGAAATTCATTGACACCTTGGCCAAGATTTACAACAAAGCAGTTCAAAACATCCAATGTGACTAAGACGACGGTAAAGTTGCTATCATCAAGCAGTGTGCACAAGAAGCTAATAAAGCCAACCACATCCGAATGGGAGAGATAGAACTAAAATCACAGTCTTGAATGAGATATTTAAGTTCCTCGATAGCATGGGTCCTAGACTTGTAGTCTTTCAAGTCGAGCAGTCTTGACTGCAGCTCTTGAGGAATGACACCCCACCTAAGATTGCTGTCACTCAGAGGAATGTATGGATTATCTTGATTGTGCCCCATTATAGCCGACAAATTTTTGTGACTATGAGAATATGGCCTAACTTGAGAACTTGTCCGCCGCATAGAGGATTCACTTGATAGATCACTGTAGGAGCTGTCTTGTGTATATGACCGTCTCCTTGCAGAACCAGTTTGTAATGGCGTGATGTCTCCATTACTGGAAAAGGGTGCCACACGGGTAACATGGACCTCCATACCTTCACCGCAGATATGTCCTGCTATAATAGACTTAATTTTTAATTTGCCAATCATAAAACTTCATAGGCTACATGGTGATAAAGCCGGGTGTTGAGGTGGCCTTAAAGGGCTACCTCGTAATTTCATCCAGCTGTAAATATTAACTTGAATAAAAACAGTTTCAAATAAAATCATATTGCATATGAAACTATGCTTATGTTCCCATAATCAGGCACGCTTTAGGTAGCCATTGTCTGGTAGAACACTGATTCATCTACTTAATACAATTTCTACATTCCCAAGAATTGTAGTTGAGGTTTCTTCTTCACAAAGCCAGAGATATGGGAAACCTACAGGAAAAAAAAAAAAAAAAAAAACACACAAAATGTTAAACATAAAACACATTTAGGAAAGAAGCAGTAAAAATACTCAAAACATTTTTGACTGTCCATATCTTCAAAGGATGGCTCCTGTGAAAATCCCAGTTTTTAATATCTTAGCACCTAATCCATAAAAGCCCCAAAAATATCAAAATGATCACAAGATCTTGAAGTATAGGCAGTTGGAGTTATATGCAAATCTTGTTTTTTTCCTGTAAAAGTTAGCTTGACTATCTCCTGTAGCCCATGTGGCCTTCCTAATGGTTCTTGTAAAAGGAAACCTCAGAAAGGTAACAGATATTTGCAATTGCGTGGGAAGAGGAAGTAAAAAAAATCCCAGAAACCAGATGCAGTCACCACATCGAATGATGGGTAACCTGCAATAAATTACCGCTTCAACTCCAAGCACCAGAAAAAAAAAAAATAATACCCTTGCAGTAGGGCCCTGTCTATATCTAGGGAAATGGGGGGGGGGGGAAATCTCTCCTTCTCCATATATATATATATATCTCATGTGCTACATGTACCATAAAGTGCAGTAGTTGTGCAATAATTGACTCCTCTAGCTATACTGCATAACTAAAATCCCACTATATAACTATTTGCAAATAGAAAAATATACGCCAATCAAAAATACTGAAATATTGAAAAAAAGTGCAACTGTGCAATAAATAATAAAAACATTCAATTCATATACCCACTCCTACAAATAAATGTGAAAAATATTCAACAAACAAATGTGTGAAATATTAATCAAAGCTGTACTATGCAATAAATATTCAAATCATAAAATTCATATCTCAAAATTTAAAATAAAATAAAATCCACTGTGATAAATGTATTGTGTGATACAGCACATAAAAGAATGTCCACCATAAATAGCAAATATGCGTCCTCTTAGGCTCCATGCACGCGGGGCGTTTTGATAACGCTGGTAACGTTAGCTGTGTAAAGTCACGTTAAAAACTTTAGTTTTTCAGCTTTTTTAAAGTGTTTTTGCATTAGTGTTTAGCGGCGTTTTGCCACGTTTGCGGTTTTTAGCTCTTTTTTTGGTAGAAAAAAGTCCATAAATGCCGCTTTGCAGCGTTTTACCACATTAGAGCGTTTTTACAGCTAAAACATTCCTCTAGAAACACACTAGTCCTGGGGTTTTTTTCCAGCCAAAAACTGTCCCTGCCAAAAAAAACATTGATTACAGTCTATGTGTGCATGGACACATATGATAACATGCTGGGGAGTTTGCTGGCTGTAGAAAAAAAAACATCAAAATTAAAAAACAGTCTCTGCAAAAACGTCCCATGTGCAGGAGCACTTATGCACCACCAAAACAAAAGGGTATTGTGTTTTTCCACCACCGGATATATTTGATGAACCCACCAGAGATCCAGGCTGGTAAAATTATAAACCAGCTATAAGCACGTGAACTCTGGGAATATGAACCTACAGCAAAAACCACTTCTCCTCTCAGGCACCCTTCACAGCAACCCACAGCCAAGAGATCCTCCTTGTCTCAACCTGTTGAGCATTCCCTTTATAGCTCAAAAGGTCCCATGGGTCAGTAAAGAAAGAGGAAAAACCTCCCATTGTGTAAACCATAAAGAATCTTTATTAAAAAACCTAATCTATAAAACTCACAATTCTGAGTGTCACCACTAGTATAAACATGAAATTTCAGGAAAGCATTGATTCTGTCTGATGTCTCTAGCCTCACACTACGATCCACCGCATGTGATGATGTACATCCAAGCCCTTCCCTACGCGTTTCGTCATCTGACGCCCTCCAGGGGCGGAAGGATGTCCGTCACCTCACATGCTCTTTTATACTAATCATTTACATAACTTATACACAAGTACCAACAACCATTTTCTAAAAAGCATCCTAGCAAGCTGTAACCTATCCTCAACCCAATATAATCTTTTCCCTTTACCTGGTTCTAGCAAGTTTCCTCCATGTTGTGCGACTGGTCTACAAAAAACGTTTCTTTGAGTCGCTCTGGCCAGTGGTTGCACTCTGACATCATCACATATGATATAGGACCAATAGTCCTGCACTGTACATGAAGATTATGGGGGCCCACCCACAACCCAAAGCATCGGAGAGTACAGAAGAGCACTGGTGGAGTGAGGAATAAGGTATTATAGCTTTTTCCTCTATCCTTTAAACCTAATGAGCATTCAACCATTACAATACGGGGGTCACACTGAAAGTAGATTTGTTACAAACACGGGGATCAGCTTTAAAGTGGTTGTAAAGACTCAATGTATTTTACCTTCATGTATCCTATGCATGAAGGTAAAAAAAAAAAAAAAACCTTCTGTGTGCAGCAGCTCCCCCATCCCCCTTACTTACCTGAGCCCCATCGTAATCCAGCAATGTGAACGACAGCATCAGCTGATCCGGGTCTCTGCCTCCTCATTGACTGAGACAGCAAGCGGGAGCCATTGGCTCCCACTGCTGTCAATCACAGCCAGTCAGCCAATGAGGAGAGAGGGGGGGCAAGGCCAAGCCACGGCTCTGTGCGTGAATGGACACACAGAGTAGTGGGTGCACCCGACAGGAGGGAGGGGTCAGGAGAACCTGCAGGGGACCCAAGAAGAGGAGGATCCAGGCTTCTCTGTGCAAAACTACTGCACACAGCAGGTAAGTAGAGATATGTTTGTTATCCCTCCCCCCCCCCCCCAAAAAAAAAAAAATTAACCGTTGGAAAATTGCTTTAAAAGCAGGTCAAATGCACCTGTCACTGAATTCTGAATAATCTAAAATCTGGGGAGACAGAGAAAGGGAGGAGTTGGGATCAGGAGAATTGTGCATGCACAGTGAGAAGACAGGAGAAGGGAGGAGCGGGGCTCAGGAGAGTGGTGCACAGGAGAAAGGAGGAGTGGGGATCAGGAGAGTGGTGCGTGCACAGTGAGAAGACAGGAGAAGGGAGGAGCGGGGATCAGGAGAATGATGCGTGCACAGTGAGAAGACAGGAGAAGGGAGGAGCGGGGCTCAGGAAAATGGTGCATGCACAGTGAGAAGACAGGAGAAAGGAGGAGTGGGGATCAGGAGAGTGGTGCGTGCACAGTGAGAAGAAAGGAGGAGCAGGGATCAGGAGAGTGGTGCGTGCACAGTGGGAAGGCAGGGGAGGAGCGGGGATCAGGAGAGTGGTGCGTGCACTGTGAGAAGAAAGGAGGAGCAGGGATCAGGAGAGTGGTGCGTGCACAGTGGGAAGGCAGGGGAGGAGCGGGGATCAGGAGAGTGGTGCGTGCACTGTGAGAAGACAGGAGAAGGGAGGAGCGGGGATCAGAATAATGGTGCATGCACAGTGGGAAGACAGGAGAAGGGAGGAGTTGCAGGAATGGAAGACAGGGGAAGGGAGAAGTGGGGATCAGAAAAGTGATGCATGTGCACTGAGGAGGGAGAAAGGAAGATTGGGGATCGGGAGAGGGAAGCATGTGCACTGAGCAGGGAGGAGCGGGGGATCAGAAGAATATACTGAGGAAGGAGGAGCGGGGATCAGGAGAGGGACGCATGTGCACGGAGGAGCGGGGATCGGGAGAGGGACGCATGTGCACGGAGGAAGGAGGAGAGGGGATCGGGAGAGGGACGCATGTGCACGGAGGAAGGAGGAGAGGGGATCGGGAGAGGGACGCATGT